GTCACCCACAACAATTCCTGCAGTCATTTCACCTGGAATGTTACCACACTGCCATCAGGCACATGTGTTAAAATCCATCTGCTCCCTTTGAGACACAACCTCAAAGTCTGATTTACCATGGAAGCTCCTTCCCCCTTGCCCCAGTCTGCCCTGCCACTCCCTGCTCTGCTTTCACCTCTGCTCCTGCTAGCCCATGCCAGGATCTGGGGCAGCTGCTGGCATCACAAGGAATGACTGCAAGAAACCTTGCATTCCTGGACTTTTTTTCCATGGAAAATAAAATTTGACTTTTGGCATTTATTTTTGTTTGAAATAATGTAGGGAAAACATACTTGAATGATAACTGCATGCAAATACTTTCTGTCATGCGAGACAAGAGAAGAAACCCCACTGAAAGAGTACAGGAGGCAGCATGATTTTCCCTTTTTTTTTTTTTTTTTTTTTTTTTTGTCCTGTATCAGGCAGAAGCTATATCATGTCAAATGTTACTTCTGTCCCAGCCAGCTCCTTTCTCCTAAGGTCCTTGGAGGGCAGGCAGCTGTAGGCTTCTTTCTTCTTCCTTCCCCCCTGTGTATGCCTGAGGCTCATCTGAAGTTCATTCCTATCAGCAAAAATCCTCGCCCCCTCCCATGCTGCTAACATCTTTTATTTCTTACTTTTAAAAGCTGCCTGATTCCCCACTGCCTGGTAGCTGCAAGTATCCTGTGCCCAAGTGTCTTGCTGCAGGGGTTAAAAACCAGACAGAATTTTTACTTGTAAGTAAATTAAAATTAGGGGAAGAAAATGGCAATTATAGCTTGCTCTATGGAGCTGGCCAGCATTTAGATGCACAGGGGAAATATCTTTGGGTTAGAGAGAGAAGATGAACATTTCTAATAAAGAGACATTTTTTTATTCCCTAACAGAGAAAATACTGGGGCTGAGGCAACCACTTCTTAAGGAAATTTCTAAGAACAACACTTGAGCTTAACTGCAGAAATCTGAGGGTGTGCTTCAGTATTAGGTATATCAGTTCTGGTACAACTTCAGTGAAATAGACAAAATATCAAGAAAATAAAAAGTGCAAGTGATTTTAATCATGTGATACTAAAAAATCTGTGCTGTGCATGACTTTATAAATGTTTCTATTTATCTAGAATTCTATTTTCTCTCTAATTTTTTCACTTGCGTCTGATTTTTTGGTGTCATTTATGACTTCAGTCCTTCAGTAAAAAGCCAGAAGTTTTGCAATAATTATACCATTTTGTTTCTGGTTTTTCTAGCTCCTTTTTGGTGGCGCAGCCTGTTTTCTTTATGTTTTTGGGTTTTTTTCATGAATTAATGCTCAGGAAATTCTTACATGATGTGCATTTCAGGGGAAGGGGCATCTATGTTTATCTACAGAATGGAAATTGTTTAGCCCTAGTGGTTTCTGAAAGATGTTTGTTGGCAAAACAGAGCTCAAAATACAGCCTAATCCACAGTGAAATATTAGTTCTCCTTTCCTGTCAGCTTTCCTAAACCAAGATTTCGCCTTGTCTGTGACCATTCCCTTGAAGAGGGCAGCTTGGATGGCTTCCACATCCTAACTCTTTGATTTGTGGTAGCTATGATCAAGTGGGAATTGAGCTTGTTACAGTAATCCATCAGTGGTTTAACACATGCAGGAACATCCCAAGGAGGGAGACCTTGGGCGACACGGGGAAGGTTAAGGCTATAATTTCTCTTAATGTGATTTTGTCTGGCCTTTTTAGATTTTTGTCCGCTTTGGGCAGGGCCACTGGATCAGCAAACCACAGACTGAAAGACTGTGCTAAATTTTGCACGCTCTTAAACCTAATTTTTTTTTAGGTGACAGCAGTAGGTTAAGCTTTCTTCCACTTTCTATGACTGAAAAATAGAAGAGCCACTTGGGAGAACCACACATGGTGGTGAGAATTTTGGAAAATAAAGGCTCTTCCCTCTTGTGGTAATTTTTCTTCTTATTGATTAACTTGATCCCAATCTAAGAAAAAAAGGAAATAACTTCTTAGCAAAGAGAAGAAGCAGGAAATGAGAAACCAATATACCTAAATGTTAAGAAAGTAAGAATCACTCAAATTAAAAACAAAAACAAAAACATATGGGAAAGTCAATATCTTCCAAACATGAGAAACCCAACTCACTGAAGGCAATAAATCAGAGATTAAACATGGGCTGTACAAGAGGAAAACTAGGAGAAAAGAGATGAAATCTAAAGAGAAAATATCTAAGGATATAAAACAAAAGACACAAATTCCTTTATGGTATCAAAAAAACCCCGAAAATATGTAGGAGGTCCTGGATCACTGGGGATGAATGAAACTGAAGAAGACAAAAATTAGAGAAGGGAAGCAAGATGACTTCTTTTCATCCAACTTCACCATAGAGGATGCTGGGGGAAAAACAATTCTGGTCCTCCTTTCATTTTTCTGTATTATTTTTTCAATAGATGTGAACTAATAGAAAGGTTTAATCCTTACTAGCAGAAACACATGTTGGAGAGAGATAATATCTTACAAAGCAGTAAACAAGTAGAATATAATAATTCTGATATGAATTAAAAGAAAGAAATTGAGCCACCGGCTAAAATGAGTATGAATATTTATGAAACTGTACTTGGTAACTTAGAGAATCAGAGGCTAGCAGAAGTTTTGCCTGTCCCTAGGAAAGCAGCAAAGTTGATGCAGAGGTCCAGGTTCTATTACTGTATCTGGTAATTTGGCTGAAAGGATGAAGGACAGGAAACTTAATACATAAAAATAACCACTATATTCCAAATGTTTATAAAATAGGGAAGAGATAAGAATACTCAAATAAAATTAAATTTAAAAATCTTTTCAAGAGCCTCATGGGAGGCCACATATGAATTGTGAGGTTAAGAGGGCAAAAGAAAAGAAGAAATACACATTGATTCTCATTTGTTGACATGGCTAACAGCAGGCATCTCATGGTTTGTACTTTGTATTTCAAAACTATCTGGAAACAAGGAAGCACATCCAGAGGGTAAAAACTACAGATGGCAGGAAATTATTCAGATTAGTTGTGACTGAAGATTATTAGGGGTTTGAGAGATAAGCAGTAAATCTTCTTCAGCAGCTCACAGTCACTGCTGTAGACTGCAATGAAGTGCACAGCACAGAGCAGTATCTGACTCCTCTGAGAGTTCTGAATGCTCTGTCAGCTCAGGAGACTGCCTGGATGTCCTTGGGAACTGCCCTGGGACAACAGGGGTCCAAAGGGGAGCAGCAGGCAAAGAACACAGAGAACATCTTACAAAAGGCAGCAGAAGGGACAAACACTAAGATGTGACACTGATAAGAGAGGCTGGAATACTGTATTTGCTATTGTTTAACACATTCTAAAAAAGTAAGATGGAGAAAAAGTGTGGAAATGGTCTCCTAAAAAAAAGATATAAAAGGATCATTTAAGACTTAGACAAGGATCTGAATAGCCTAGTTTAATTTGGTCTTGCACTGAAGAGGGTGATGGATCCTATGACCTTCAGAGATCCTTCCCAACCTAAGTTATTCAGTTAATTAGAGAGAAATAATATTTTGACTGTTCAGTATATTCAGACAGTAAATCATGAAACTGGCAATTTGAACAACAGAAAAAAGTAGATTATGAATTAATTGTTGCAAGAACTACTCTAGGAGCCAAAATAAGATTTCATTTCTGCAGTTTTAAAAAATATATTGTATTATAAAGATGTCCTGGGTTGTGGGTGCAAACAGCTCTGTTTGCCCCCACACTCTCCAGCTCCACTCCAAACATCCAAATAAGGTGGCTTTTGGAAAAGAAGTCATTCCTCTATTTGATGCACATAATGAAAATTATGGCTCATGAAATTACATTTTTCAAGGAGAAATCGTTCATTCCCTTAGAAAACTCTTGTGCTCTTCTGTCGAGCAGCTGGTATTGGTCACTGTCTGAATCAAGACACTGGACTAGATGGACACTACAATTACCTACTGTAATTATTACCATCTCTCTCAGACATGACCCCTAAAGAGAATTTTTATGCTTGCTATCTCCCATGTTTACTCCATTAATCAAGCAATGTACTATTTTTAAGGGTTATTAATGAAATCCCACACTCTGAGAGATCCAAGAGTGAGTTTACAGAGTTCCTAATATGCCTGCTCACAGCTGTAATGAATAATCTCCATACCACATTGAGCCATTGACCAGACCTATGCAATAACCAGGGAATTAGCATTTTTTGACAAGAAGCGCTGCCACAAGTTTCCTTTATTTCTATTTATGTTCCCTAACTCCTAACCATGAACATTATTTTCAGGAGAAGGACAGAAAAGGAGTACTGTAATGTAGGAAACTTTACTTTGATGGTGACAGAGTACTGGAAGAGAGCCAGAGAGGCTGTGGAGTCCCCTTCTCTGGAGATGCTCAAAACCCACCGAAACTTTTCTTCTACAACCCGCTCTAGGTGAACCTGCTTTAGTAGGAGGTTGGACTAAATCATATGATGAGGTCCAACCCCAGCCCTTCTGTGACTCTGTGAGTTAAACCAAGTATTTAAAAAAGTCTTTTAATTCTGGAAACAATTTTATTAGAAAAAAATGAATTCCTTCCACTGGATTTAAAATACAATCAGGCATCTGCCTTAAAAAAGAGATTCCCCCAAATGACAGAATAAATATATTTGAAGATAATTGCCAAATAAAGTTTTAACCTGAAAATAGTTCCTAATAGTTACATACATTAATAATGTACCTAACATTAAAATGGCTGTCATAACGAATGGTTGCCTGAGAGTGCACTGATGAGGGAAGCTTGTGACAGACAGAAATAAAGTTCAGAAATGAGAGTACTGGCATCTTTAAAATTCAGTGCAAATGACTCAGTTAACACACGTTCATAAATAGTGCTGCATCCAGGAAGGATCAAAAAATCAAAGAACATAATAAAATCCTAAATATTTCACTTCCAAGAGGTTTTATAAAAATGTACATATAGATGTATTTACCTACTGGACATACCTTGGCTGACCTAGTGATGGCCCCGATCTCTGAATAAAGATCAGTGCTGTCTGGGAACTTTTCTACCACCATAGTGCAGACGTGGTGCAGGAGGGACTGTTTGTGCACTGTGTCCTTGACTTCTGGAACCTTCTCGAGGTAGCTCAACTCAAAAGCTTTGGCCTGAAAAGGGAAAAAAAAAAAAAAAGGAAGAAATTAAAAATAAAAATGCTTACTCCTTCCCACGCAGATTAGTAGACAAAAATGATTACCAATAAGGGGCAGAGGGGAAAGAAGAAGAGGAATCCTACAGGAGAGGAAACTTATTGCTTTTATTAATTTTTAACTTGCTGGAGACTAAGCCTAAAATCAGTACATCTGCAGTGAAATGACCCACGACACAGTTCTCATAGTTTGAATGCAAAGCATCAACACTACACTTAAGGGAGTCACACTAGAAGAGTACTTAGTTCCACATTTCCTTCAGATTATGCCGAAAGAGGCAACACACAACACAGAACACCCTAACACGCAATAAAAGCACGTTCTACTCCCTAAATTACTTTTCTGGTACAAAACAAATAGCAGGTTGCAATTTTCACAATGGTTTTGACTTCTGTTTTTTTGAGGGAAAAAGCTGCAGGGGGAATCCTGGGATGTGAGGCTTACGTTGGTTCCATTCAGAAAGTTCCCAATTGCTAGTAGAGTAGAAAGGATAAATCCCAAAGTTTTATTGTGCTCCAGTTGGTCCATTCCCTCCTTCAGGTCTAGCAGTGGTTCTGCAACTTCCTACCATAAGAACAGAAACAAGAAAGTGAAGGTTAGTTTTTAATTCTATGGTTTAGATTAATTACTGTAAAAAGTTCCTGAACTGGCGTCTTGCAGAGTGTAAACTGGCCATGTGTGCTGGCTTTCTTCCATGTTCCAGCTAATAAATCACATGCAAGGACAGCAAAAAAAGTACATAAAATATTTTCCTACTGTTGTTTCTTTATGAATGCAGTTGCATTACTTGTTCTGGGAACTATCCTGTGATTCCAAACAGGAGAATGCACATGAACACACCCAAGCCCTGACTGATAAAAAAGCTCCTTAAAAGTATTTTTTCTAAACTTTGAGCAACAAATAAAAAAGTTAGAAACCCTGCTTACTTAACATTTGTAGCTTGACCCTACAGCTTTCTTCAAACGATAGCCACTTCTCTCTTTTAGGTATTGTTTTGTGATAAAAACCAAAAAACCAACAAAACAAAAAACCCCAAACCTACCATAAACATCAAGCTTTACAAATACTCTCATTTTAATCTTTTAATTTAATGCATCTTCCATCCACACATGTTATCTGAGATATGCATACTGGTAAGATTTGAAATCATAAATTCTGTTCCATTAGCTCAGGAAGTGAGCTACACCAGAGAGTTCAAAGGAAGAGAGTGAGGGTAATAGAGCTGACAGAACTTATTTCTATGTCTTTGTGTGAGGCCCAGGGTTATTTATTTTGTATGCACAATAACAGTTCACATTGTTTCTATCTTCAAATGCCATTCTAAGCATCCATGAGCAGCATTCTTTTCACAGAATCATAGAATGGTTTGTGTTGGAAACGACCTGAAGATCATCTAGTTCCAACCCCTGTGCCATGGGCAGGGAGACTTTTTTTCCCAATTTCCCAAACTGTTATACTCTTTATGAGCCAAGAAGCTAAATTAAGATGCTATTTTAGACCAAGAGGCAAAGTAACTGAGAACTCCACTTTCTTGGAGACATACAATGGTTCCTTCAACAACTGCAGTGATATTTTACCATAAAAGATGAATGAAACACATTTCTAGTCACTACAGAACAATTTGTCTCTTGAAAAGAATATGGCAAATTCAAGACAAATTAAGAGATGAGATAGTAAGCTAAGTAGTTTATACATCAGAGGAGAGGCACTAAATAATCCAAGACTTTATCAGTCAACAAAAATGAAACTGCTGCACAGTATTCTTTGAGTTGCTTTAAAGCCAGAGTTGATTTAGTTTGTTTTGTTGCGTTATGGGATAACTCAAACTGCTCTGAATCTGTGGTAAACATGGGCTTCTGAACTATTTTATTTAGATCAATTTTCAACCTGTCAAATAAACATTCCTAAAAGACCAATTTAAAACATTCTCCAGGTGAATAAAAAGGTGTCATAAGAGGCTTTCAAACCAGGCCATACTGAGCCCTTCATTTAGTCATTTAGACAAGTTATCTGAACTTAGACTTTCTTGCATATAGTACACATTTATTATTACTCTTTATTTCTTATTTTATTGTAGGATTAAAAAACAATAAAAAAGAGTGTGCAAGATACAAAACAATGAGACAAATTTCTGATTTTTTCACATTTACCCAGTCTTGCTCCCTATAAAACTCACCTTCCACCTAAAGAGGGCAGATAGACAAGGCAGAGCTACCGCATATCCTTGGCTACCACCTTTTTATTTTTCAGCTAAAAATTAGGTTTGAATGAAATCTGATTGGTCCAGAACTTCTGTCTGAAAGACACTTCATAATGCCTGAAAAATGTTTGGTGCATACGTACAAATGAACTCAACTAATTGTACTTTTCTCATTTCTACACCTGCTTATATTAATTTTGTGATCTTTAAAGTTGTCAGCAAAAAGGATATATTTGTCTTCATTTACCTTAATAAAAATAAAAATCAAAGTTTCTATTCCATATTTAAGACCTTTAAATTCCTTTTGAGATAGCAGAATTTGACAATATCTGCATAATTAGTAGTTCCATATGAGGAATGAGTAGCAACACACTGCAATTTTTTTAACCTCTTCTGACTGTGCATTTAAACTTGGACACCAAAAGAAAGGTGACAGAAATTCCTGTTCTGCTAATGACCTTCAGTAAGCATTATAAGTTAACATTTCAAAGGAGCATACACATTAACAAGCAAATAATTTGGAAAGTTTTTCTTTTTTTTGGTTTTCTATGGAGAGCAAAGAGTGAGTATTTATTCATCCAGTTCAGGCCCTCACAGTCTGAGGATGCTCCCTACAAATGTACCCTGACTTGCTTTAGCTAATTAAATTCAAGCTAAGAAAGATGATTTCTCTTACTATGCCTGAAAAGCTTTTCATGAACATGAACAATGTATCACTTGACCCTTTTCTTGAACAATTAAGTTCTTTCTTTCAGGTTGTCAGAGATGAAGCTAAAACCTGCTTAGGCAGAACTCTGTTCTTGGCAATTTAGCAGAGGAGCCTTATGCATGAGAACCCTGGTCTTACCAATAACTCAGGTATTTCACACTGTTGGTAACAGGGACCATCTAAAACTTCCAGCCTCATGGAAGTAATAGCACTCCTATCTTACATAAAATATATGTGTGACTTGGTAAATAATATGAATGCATTCTGAACTACTTGAATTTTCTTTCTTACAAAATAAGAATTAAAAAGAGAAGATCAAGCAAATGGCAGACTAAAAAAAAAAAAAAAGGCAAAAGCTGTGGAGATAAGTGACTTTGGGACCTAAGTTTCATGAAGGGTTTTCCCCTTTGCAGACAGATCTTCTGTAAAACCATAGTTTCAAGAACAGAAGAATATTTGTTAGCCACTCAAGCATCTCTGCGTAACTACTAATGCAAATTACTTCATTTTTTAAAACTGAATATTGCAGTATCTTATATCAGTCTAAATAATATGTAGGTTTACTGGTTACCTGGAACTTAAACTCTGACCTTAACCTTTTTCTTACTGGAGACACCCAGGTGCTCACTCTCCCCTGCATCCCTGATGTCTGATCCTGTTTCTTCATCCTCACCCAAGACCCAAGCTGTCTGTCCTATCTACGCTTGTCTGCTAGGTTTATCGTGTGCTCCTCATACTTCATCACCCTTAGCACATGTTATGTCAGCTACCATTTTATGGTAAGTACTGTGCTTAGTCCTATCTACCTTTAAACAGGGATAAAAATGTTTTTTTCTTCACTACAGCTGTTGCTTCTTTGAGTAATTTAAGTATTTGAGACATTTTGTACTGCATCCATTCTACATGGATTTTAGCTGGCAATAAATTAACTAACTTTGTGGCAAAAGGAATTTCTTTAGCTTTTTGCAGTGCTTTAAATGTTGCTTTTTTGATTGAGAGTGCGTTAGAAATTCTAGGTATAGGCAGAGATTAACCGCTACAGCCAACACAGTTTACATGAAAGTTACAATTTATCCATGTGGTAACTTCAAAGCAGAATAAATAGCTGTACCAGAGTGAAAAAAAAACAACCAACCAACCAAAATAAACTGGCTAAAAAGTATTCATGCCAGATACAAGTATTTTGCTATACAAGTCAGAAAAGTAAATGGCTAATACTAAAACATTCCAATTAAAAATCCTGAGTATTCATGTGACTGCATGTCCTAACATCTAAGAAAATTAAGTAAAGGTTGAGTAATCTTGACAGTATCACCAGCAAATCAATCCACTGTTGTACAACTCATCAAATAACCATTGCTAGCAGAGCATAACACATTTTCACAAGCATGTCCCACTTTTTAGAATCCATATCAGACAGTTATACTGATTTTTCCAATACACACCTATTGTGCACAGATACATATACAAAACCAGTATGTAGAGGAGAGAGCTGCTTTAATGGCAATGCCAGGGGCATGTACCAGAAATGCAGCCAAAATGAAGCTCCTGTGCAGATTCCTGAAAGACCTTGTGAAAGGCAGCAAGTACCTGAAATCCCCTACAGTTTCATTCTGTCTCATCTATGCACCAAAATTTTACCCTCTCTTCAAAAAATTTTTGCCTGTGATTCATCATTCTTGACAGATATGTCAATTTTAGTGCACTTTGAATGAATGCCATCCATGGAGAAGGTGGCAGCAACTGTGCGTGACTGACCTGAACTGTCTTGTGTTTAGAATTCTGAGAGCTATAAACAAGAAAACCTTGATGGGTGGTGTTTTCCTTAGTTCAAATGGATGTAATGTCAATACTCTCATGATGTAAGACTAAATATGGTAGTCCTCACTCAATCTTTACCAAAGAAAAATTCTCATTGCTCTGAAGTAAGAATTTCCTGAATAACAACATCTGGAGAAGATGTAGCAGAGATTTAGCCCTCTTCTTTGTTTCAATATCATTACTGACTAATTAAAGGAAGGAAGACATAATCTCTTAATTTTCTTTTATAGAAGGAAGAGATTATGAAGGATCAGTTTAGCTGTTTCCTGGTTGGCCACTGAAACAAAAGCAACCCATTTACCATTTCCTCAAAAGGTCCATACAACACCAAGGTCAGGGAAAGATTAAGCAAAGCCTCAGAAGAGTCTCCACCCATCCCTGTGCTTTCCCTCACCTTTTCCACTATCTCATAGTCCATCTTGAAAGCCCAGAGCTGGAGCCTGGCAGAGAGTTCACTGATGGAGGAGAGGGTGAGAAGGAACTGCTCAGCGCTGCCCAGGGGGACATCGGGATTTGCCAGCTGTGCCTCCTGGATCTTCTGCTTTTCCTCCTCAGTTGGGATCATGGTCAGGATTTTCTGTACAGGGAGACAAAAGGCAAGCATCAGTGGTGGGGCTGAGGGGAGTGTGAGGCCTGGCTGATGGGTGACCCCATAACAGCCACAGTAGAAGTCCTCAAGTCCTTGGCTGTTAAATTAGGACAGCACAAAAGAAACCAAGAACTAATCCACTGCACAAGGAAGCGAAACAAGGACTGCTATCTCACACACCACACATCATTTTTGTTTAAAAATGCATCTGAATTAAAATGCCTTTTTATTTTTTTGAATTCTGTATTCAGTAGATATGGCTAATCATGGGATGAAACACTGAAGGAGATGGAAGGAAATTGGTTAGGATTGATGTCATTGACTTTCATATGTTTAAGTCAGAACTTAATACCTTTTTGTAAACTACATATCGAAGTAAGGGTAGAAGCAGAACAGTTTTGTGGCCTATGATTTACAAGTCAGACTAGATTTTACGGCCCCTTTTAGCCCAAATATCTACAAATCTTCTAGAACACTTGTAAGTGTACAGGAATAATTTGAAGACTCTTGACCCTTGCTGTTCCCATAATTTCTTACTTTTTGTTCAGTCTGTTTTGTTTTCCTTATGGAACATGCAGCAGTTTCTTATGAAACTATTGCAGCTTACTAGGTCACTCCTAAAAATTTCACCCTAACTGACAACTTCCCAAGGAACACACATTGAATTTAAAGCTGAATTATACATTGCATAACATATGGCCTTTTTTTCTTTTCATATGAAAAAGGATCTCAATATTTTCAGTTTCTGCTGTCAGTGTGGCTCAAAATACTTAAACTTTCCCTTTAGTTCATGGATTTTACAGTTCTGTTTAAATGTGGCAGCTTTCCTTCTGAAAGGATTACTCTCTAAGGTATTGCTTCTTAATCAGTTTTTAACACAATAAATGCACTTCAGAATAAAAAAGAAGCAAAACAACATAAAGGCATCAGATAAGTTGAGGTCTCTACCCTACTGATAAATGTGTCCTTAAATAAAAGCAGATTTTTAACACAACTTATGTTTATTCATCACAGGAATGAGCTGTTTTTGTTGTAGCTGTCTATAATGACAGAGGCTGTTTTAAAGGGGAGGAGAGAATAATAAAAATACAGCCAAAGAGCTATCAGACCTGCCAATCCAAACTACAGCCTTGCTCCAACACTGGACATAGCTAATTTATCAAAGCAGCACAACTGCCCCCTTCCAGTACTGGTAGTTCCCCTGGATTTTTGTACATCACTGGAGCTAAGCGTGGATAGAGAGCAAGGGACATTTCCTGGTCAATCAGGCAAAGAGCAACAATTAAGCATGCAAATAATGTTCAATTTGTTGAAATGGGACTTATTTAATTCAGCCACAGCATTTGTATTGCTGTCCATTTTCTTCTGCCAACTTCCATAAACATTAATAAAGAAGCATTTTTTCTGTTAATGTTGCCTCTCTCTCTTGCTCTTTGTTGTTATAAACAAAAATGACAACAAAAAAAAGCCTCCTTTCTTGGACACTCAAGATTCTACCTAAATAAATTAATATCTTAAGGAAAAAAAAAAAAAAAAAAAAAAAAAGGAGAAAATTCCCTAGAAAAATCCCTAAATACACTGTGGTGCTTTTCCTTCGCCTGAAAAGGACTGCTTGGAAAATATTCTTATGTACACATGTTCCAACTGACAGCATCTGTGTATTGATTTTGAGATGTACCTGCCATCCATCCATCCATCCATCCATCCATTCACCCAGACATACTGAAATCTGTAACTTGAGTAATACCTAACATAAAATTAGATTTATAAGTAGCTGCTTCATGGTCTCAGTGCTGAACCAATACTCATCTAAAAAAGTCTGCAAAAAAAACCCCAATAGATTGAGCCTGAAACTCATAAAGAAAGGTGTTTTGCAGTGTCCCTTGAAGGAATCAGTCATCTTAGTGCCTACTCCTCTCTTCCACAACAAGAGGAAGCCCACAAGCGCTCAGCTGAGACAGGGCAGCTTGCAAATAGGATCATATTGAACATCCATACATGGAGAGTTTAGCAGTAGCCATGTGATGGATATGAAAATGCTTCTGATGCATTTTTTGAAGGCTAACCCTGCAGCAGTAGTCTCAATTGCCTCCTACAAATAACTAGGACTTCTGGCAGCTACCCAGGGATCCCACAAGTATTTTGTGGTGGGGCAATGCCTTCACTCCAGATTTTGCCCTGCTTTGGAGCATTTTAAAGAGAGCAAAGAAACAGTAAGCTTTATTTCCAAAGGGACTCTCCTCCTCCTTGAGCTTTACATAAACATCACAAGATAGATGGAGCTGACAAAAAGCATTCAAGTCCAAGCTCTGCAAGGCTTCTGTGCTGTGTACTGTACTATGTGAAACAAAGGATGCCAAGCAAAAGAGTCTGTACTTGTGGTGCCAGCTGCTGAGGATCAGCCCTGCTGCTGAAAGCCATGCCTTGGTGGGGCCAGAGCTGCTGGCAGGTCTCACACCATCCAGGGTGCAAGTGCCCCCATAACAATGACCTACATCAGCACTCTTGATCTGACTGGGCAAAAGATTCTCATCCTGCTTGTCATCATCCTTGGTGTGCCCCTGAGCAAGTAGTGAGATGCTCCTCTTCTTGATTTCCACTCTATGACTAATTTGAGCCATTTGTTCAGTGCTGGAAACTGATGAGTACACCATCTGCCACTTTATTATTATTTTAGTTTTTATTTCTATCATTTTTGAAAAAAATCTAACAGTAAAAGTAGCATAAAATCACAGCAGGGCAGAAGGTTACTGGCACCTGATGTGACCATTAAATCACAAATAGCTTAGAGTCCAATCATTAGTTCATACTGCTCTTCCCAGTACACAGAATCCCAGAGTGGGTTACTTTGGAAGGGATCATAGTGGGACTACTGATCCAACCTCCCTGCTCAAGCAAGGCCCTCCCAGAACAGACAGCACAGGACTGCAACCAGACGGTTTGTGAATATCTGCGGTGAGGGAGACCCTACAGCCTCTCTTGGTCACCTGCACAGTAAATAAATAAGTTCTTTCTCATATTCAGGTGGAACTTCCTGGGCATCAGTTTCTGCCCATTGCCTCTTGTCCTATTGCTGGGAACCACTGAGCAGAGCCTGGATGCATTCTCTTGACACCCTCCCTTCAGATACTTGAATACATTGATACTTTCAGTTTGCTCTTCTCCAGGCTGGACAGGCCCAGCTCCCTCGGTTTAGTAACTGAGGTGGTGTCAGCAACCTTCCTGTCAATTAAAGACTAACTGGTTATTAACAAACCCTGTGCTCATATTCTCTAGTGCATATGACACACGTATTTCAGCTTTATGCATTCTCACACAACTGTTTGGGCCAGAGTCTTATGTTTTGAGGAAAACCAGTGCACAAATAATGGAGGAAAATAAGCAATTTTTGCATGAGATAATGGACCCAAATTATTCCACTGCTGGACTCAGTCACCTGAACTTTCAGCAAAGGAATCAAACTGCTTATTTCCTGGACTCTGCCATCCTGAGGTATAATCTCCAAAGGTTCCTAAGAGGGAAGACTTACAAAAACAACATATGGCTGAGAGTCATGGGCCTCAGTGTGGGATGCAAAGAAGCACCTAAGGAGTGATGGTGACTAGCTCAGCGCCTCTGAGGAAATTAGGTGCTTAAATTTTTTTCTTTCATGGGGCTTCTCAGTGATGATGAGGTTGTAGGAGTGTCTTGTCTTCTGTGTTTGGTTTCACCTGATCTTACCAGGTGAACAACAGCCTGAAAAAAATTAGTAACTCAAATTTCTGTTTGTTGTTGTTGTGTACAAAGCTTTCTGTGGCTTGAGGACCACAAATACATAAGCTGCATGACCAAATACATGTTAGTGGGTATTTCACCAGATATTTGATACGCCTCAGGAGACAATCCAGCTCCTGAAAGGCTCTCTCACATTTCAACTTCTCAGGCACCCAGGCAGCTGTTAACAAGACCTGTTGCTGGTTTGCTTTACATGTAGAAACTAAGAAAATGTAAGAGCATATGAAGGTGAGAACTTCACTGTAAGGGAAGCTGCCTGCACTAATTTTATTACAGGTCTTCCAAAAATGATCCAATTCTGGGAAGGAACTACATCTAAAATGCTGATGACCATCCCTGTATATCAGGAACTGACACCATTGCCTGTCAGACCACTCCTTTTCCTCAGCTCCACAGAAATACATGAACATGTCATTGCTGCTCACAGAACTGTAGATGACGTTTTGGTTTTCTGCAAGGAGAGAAAGTGTGGCATTTTTTCTTTAAATAAAGTCTGAAACAGATTAGGGCTCTGATATGCTGACTGTGTCTGGCCAGCAAGGCACCACTGAGGCCATTCTCTCTTCTGTCTAGACTTGTGAAAAAAGGTGTTCTTTCAGGTCACATGAGATAGGATCATTTGAAACATCCCATCACACTCTTACAAAGCATTAGCTAAAAAAATTGGAAACTGCAGATGTTAATGCATCATGTCAACGATCAGAATAAAAATGCAAATACCTTATTCATTTACAAAAAAATCAAATTTTGATTTTTATTTATACATGTCACCATATGGCTTTTTAACATCAAGCTCTCACTTCTTACCCTTTTTTACATCTCAGGGATATCGAGCCACTCCAGATACCAGTACTTCAAATTATTTATGATGGGTATGCAGGGTGTAGCACCCCTGGGTATGGAGGTACAGCACACCTGGAGAGATTTCTTCATTTCCATGATTTACTAAAAGATATACCTTCTAATGCAATCACCATTATGTAGCATCACAAAGCCATATTGTAAAGCAGAAAACAAACCATGCTAATTTCCTCACAGCATTACCCTAATTTTAGTCTGCTATATTAACCATAGTCTTTGGTATTATTTGATTTAGGTCCACATTTCCTTACTGAGCAGCCCTTTATAGAGGGATCCAATTATTTCCTTTGCTACAGATAAGCACCAAGAACTGGTTTGTTGGACTCCATTCTTGCAGTTGCCTCAGGATTTTAAGCTTGCCTCTTTTGCTTAACTCATAGCAAGACCTCATCCATGCTAAGGAAGCAGTTCTTTTTTCGGCAGTAAGCTCCAAGTTGTTTGAACACAGTGAATGCCAAGCTTTCAAAGAAAGGAAAACACAAACACTTTGGCAAATGTAAGGTGGCAAAAGTTTTTTTTTAGCTGGATTGGCTCATGCTTGCAAACACACAATGTGCATTCCTCTCAAAATACGTCTTAAACAGTGCCTCCTTTGCATATTAAGTGGACTACATCTGCCTTTCTAGTGTCATGGCCCTACTTTCTGCCTTTTTTCACAGCTCAGAGGTACCTAACCACTTTACTAACAACACTTGTTACCACTAACAAGACCTAAAAATACGCAACATACTTAGGAACAGAAAACTTTAAAATGACTGGAGTATTTATTTCACATAGTTATATATTTAAAGTTAAAAAGTAAAGTATGGATTACTAACAAGAGTTCAATGTCAAAAGCAAAGCAGCACTCAGCAGGATGTAGGGCAGCAGTGGAGACCCTACTGGACCTCCTGGTCTAATGATGGACTTGATGATGAATTGGGCTATCATGAACTTGGGCCTGTACCCCACTGCATCCCTGCCTTGTTGCCAGCACTACTTCCAGCACTGCTTTAGTCCACTGTCCTTAAAGGAATCACTAAGGTCAGTTTTAAGATACCATTTAATCCCCCAAGGTCCAGAACTACAGCCACACACACTCATGTGACAGTGACAATGCTCCTCAGCAAAGGACACAGCACAGAGCTCACTGCCAAGGCAAAGGATGGCTCAGGTGACTTTTCACACTGCTGGTACTCTGCTCTCTGTTGGATCTGACAAAAGCTGAAGATGATCCTAAATTATAACTTCTCTGAAATTTTAGCAGTGAATGTTATATTGTCACCACACACATCTCTTTTCCTGCTCTCTTTATGTCTATCTTCTGCTTACTGGATGTGACATTTCTTCTAGACAATTACTGTGCAGAAAGGCTTGTAAGTATCTACTGTGGTACAATTTTTTAATTAGGCAAATTGCATAATTTTTTTTCCATACCAGTTCTGCCTCAATCTACCCATAGATAAGCTATCATTTACCTTTTATAGCAAATTGATGTATTATCTGTGGGTTTTTAAATAAATGACGCTGATTCTTATACTATTACTGATTCATTCAAAGTGACTACCAATTATTTCTTTATATTTAGATAGATGAACCAGAAAACTTTCTAAAAATCTAGACTGAAGGAACAACCTCTCTTCCCCCAATGCTAACTTTAGGGTTAAAGCCAATAAACAGACAGATAAAGGGAAGAGACACAGGAAACAAAGCTTGTCTACATTGTAGACCAAAGGGGCAGTATGGAAAACTGAAGCAAGGATCTGCTGAAAACAGTGGGACTCAAATTAATGCATTTTTGTATCAACCTGTGTGCTACCTGGCCAGATGTGAATAGCTTAATCCAGCCCTCTCTGTCACTATAAAGACCTGACTCTATAACATTCTGTAAGAAGAATATGTAATTCGGGATTGGGAAAGGAAATCTGAATTCAGTGTAGGGCTTTACTTGATAAAAAGTAAATAAATATATGTAATTGAGGAAAAAAACCCCTTCTTTCTCCATGGACGTCATCCTTCCCCAGCAATCTGGACTTCATTTCTCAAAGTGCAAAGTACCTGGGCTCTGTTCTTTCTCTTGATTTCAAATATCTGAATGATCACATTAGGATTACTCGCAACTGTAGCTTCAAGCTGTGGACACAGACCTCAGAGATCTTTTCTTTAGCACTGGGCAAGTATATTAACAGTGCAAAATTTCCTGGTTTCTTGAATTCTTCAAACTGAAATCCACCTTCAAATATACTTTAAATGAAATTATGGGTTCCTGGTAGCTAATGTAAAGGCCACCCAAAGGCGGGTGTGGTGGTACAAAGCACAGCTGTGGACACCACAACAGGTGGTTGGCAGATGGACAGCCCATGATGTCCATGATTCCATTGCCAATAATGGAAGTGGAAAGTGTGGGCTGTTCAGAGCACCTGGAGCCAGAGAAGGACACAATTCTAAGGAGATGATACATAGAAGTTAATGAAGGCTTGTCCTCCTTTGTCAGCCATTTTGTGTTGGATTTTGTATGGCAACACTGCCTACTGCACTGAGATCTAACTGGCTGTGAGTTGGGCTTGGCTGGAGGGGTACTTCTCTTCAACATTTTAAAGCTTAGCACTGCAGACTGCAGTGGTGGGTACATGGGCTGGGTCATGAAAAATTACCGGTTTTAGAGTGATCTGTCACCTTCATAATCCGAGTAAAATATGCATATAGGAAAATGTAATATAGCTTGGGGAAGAAATTATATTCTAGTAGGGATAAATCAGGCCTTGCCTTCTAGCTAGAAGGATCTTTCGCCTTAAGCATTTCTTTTGCATGCATCTGTTGGCAACACCATTTTCATTCCAGAAAGCTTTTCTCATTTTGTTTTGTAGTCAGCAAGGTGAAGGTGGAAAGGGGGAAATCAAAAAACACAGCACCAAACCACTAAAAGGTGACTGTGAATGAATGTATGACCTCTTGATAGCCACTGGTTGAGATTTGTAGTTGTGCAGATTACTCTTACTAGATGATACAGGCTTATTGGAAAAAAAAAAATAAATTAAATGAATATGACCATAATGAAAAAAACAGTGAAGCCACAGGCTTCTTTTACACTTCATAGAAGAAAAATGTTTTGATAAAAAAAATAATAAACAGAGCTCATCTTGGATCTTGGTAAGAATATCTGCAAAGTCAAACATGTAGTGGTAAAAATTACATCATCTGTAATCTTTATACCAACTGCTTTTCTTCAAACAACATTAACACAAAAATGCTATTCTGGGCAGAACTAGTCGCTGTATTTGTTTTCCATTAGATATACAATCTACACTGACTCCAACAGCTAGCTGGGCATGAAATTTATTAAACCCTGTAACAGTTGCTTCAGCCCTAGTAACTCACTGCCTATTTTTGCTGCTCACAATATTTCTGTCAAGCTTCAGATAATACTCTGAGAAACCTGTCAGGAATTAACACCATTGCTACTCAAACAAAACAGATAATCCATGATCACTGAGCACGCTCAGCCTCATGATACTTCCTGCATCTGCGCCCATTGCACTGGTTTCACAAATTTCAACATTCAGACATGACATAATACACCACCTTCTCCTTCTTCCCTGACCAGTCTGGACTGTATCATATACAACATGGGACAAAATCTTTCTTACCTCTATTCCTTCCTTGTTTAAGGCATATTCATCAAAGTTCAAAATAGCAGTCTTGATGGTGCGGGGCGGGGGCAATACAGTCAAGCCAATATTAATGGCATTGCTTCGCTTCGAGTCTAGCACAATGATCTCCTGTCGCTTCCCATCTGCAGCAGTTTTCTTGGGAAAGAAGGGAACAAAGTCATTATTCCTCTGATCTGTTTTATAAAGGAAAAGTCACTCTTTTCACTAATGACTTCCCCACTCAGGAAAGCTGACACTGAATGTAAATATAGTTTATTTGGAGGCATCGAAACAAGCTGAATTCTTCTACCACATCCTTATCCTATCAACATGAGCTGCCAGGATTCAGAGACCTGAATGCTGCTGTGCAAAGCTGGTCTCACACAGTCCTCAAAAGGGGAGTTTGGGGCGTGAACCAGTCTGAAAAACACCAGAAACTGCGAGACCAGAGCTCTGCAGTGCAGCAGGACTGGCCAGCAAAGGACGGATGGGACAGCAGCTGGGCACCCAAGGGACTCCAGGGCCCAATTCCCTGTTGGATGCACCAATCTGGACCCTCTCTCTCTCGTGTGTCTGGCTGGGAAACAGAGTACTTCCCACCTGCCTGCCCGCACTCTCCTGTGTTATAAATCCACCTCAGACACTGGCAGAGGAGCCACAGGTACCTCTCTGGAGGCACTGGCATGGTTTTCTGACCTCTGTCTGCCAGGGCAAAGTTACTCTACCTTTCTGTTCATCATACATCTGTCAAGACCTTCACAGATGCAGAAAAATTTCAACCCTCATGCTTTTTTCAAAGTTTAATTTGAGACAATCCATATCCTTGGATCTTACCTCCAGTACAAATAATAATAAAATCACAAAGAACTGGCAACATATACTTTAAATTCTGTTCTAGAATACACCAAGGAATTTCTTTCTCTTTCTCCCCATCTTTATAGTGGCAAAATGTGAACCAACTATGCAAGGTGACTCGAAATCCACTTCTATGGCATAATGTAGTGTTGAACATGGTCTTTGGTTTTACACCTCAGCATGTCTCTCTTTCTCTCTCTCATCATCCCATGCTAGAAAGTGTCTCTTTGGTAACTACCAATGCTGTGCTGGTAAGTGAGCTGGAAAGTGAGAGCACTCTGCTCATACTCAGGGTTTTTTCCTTCCCCTGCATATATGTGAAGACTTAGCAAAGATAACATTTGTTTTCAATGTTTTTATACCAGTTTTGCCAGAACTGATCTCTTCTTAACAGCTTAAAACTATCCCCAAAGCCTTACTGAACTTTCCCTTCTTTGAGTAATAGACTCTTTTTCTTGGGGAGTTACCTGAAGGATGTGAGATGCAGCTTCTCATTTAATACTGTAACTTTTACTTCCCGAGCCACTAATCACATTCTCAGGACCACAGTTAGTGGCCAAGACCACATTAAAACCATACAGGGTTCACCAGAGACTGCTTCCTCTTGAGTTTGTATTGCACTAAGCCTTTTTTAAACCACCACATTTTACCTTGTCCTTTGGAGCACAGAATTACACAGCTCCAAAGAATTTAATCAGAATGGAAAAGGCCAAGGGAAAGGAGTTAAATTTAGGCTTCCCACATGTGGTGTGGGTAAGTAAGCCTCAAATCTGCAGCTCTGTTTTCAGGCTCCCAAATCTGACAAGAGAGACATATTCATTTGGGGGACACAAGACACTCACGGCCAGCATCATTGTGATCCCTACACTGCACACACTCACTGAGTTAGGAAAGACAGATGAGCTGCACAGGGCATGAGTGCATGGAGGTATTTTCCAGAGCTATAACTGCATATGGGATATAAAATGTCGAGGTGAGTAACCCTTTTCAAAAACAGGGGCTGAAGAGACTTTAAATCCATTCTTGGGACAACGTCTGAGTTCCAAAGAAATCCTTTCCAAATAAATAAAAGGATGAAGAAAAGAGAAGGATTTTACTACTATGAACTTTACTACCTCACTGCTAGGAAAAGAAGTGCTTTTTGTCTGCAATGAAATTTCACAGGTGGAAGTGTCTGACTGTTAAAATGAGCTACAACTACTGATTTCTACTATAATATTTGGTGACTTCAGTCTATGCTTTATAAATTCATTAGCAGAAAGTGACTTAAAATGCTTGAGGGAACAGTGAACTAGTGCACTTGACTTTATATTTTAATGTGTCAGTATGAAGTGTAATCCCTGAACTTGTGAATATTACATATACTATATAGTATACAATTTGTAATTACATATATATACAAACATACCAGGTAGTATAATCTGTGGAAAACAAACACTTCTGCAATGTATAAACACTTAGAGTGAATTGAGACCATTACAAGACCTAACTGGCCACATTCTCTTCCCTATGTTAAAGACAGGGTAGTCCAGGTGGATCATTTAAAAGCTATTACCCTACCACAGAAAGTGATTTGTAGTCTGATGAGAACATAATCTTAAACATGCTTCTTTGCTTTAATTAATATGGGAAATGGAAAAAAATAAATAACTTTCCAAGTGGTCAAATAAATAAATAATTATATTATGAGCTTCAGCTCAGAAAGATCTTTAAAATTACAAAAGTCTGCATCAGTATTGCAGAAAAATCTACCTTAATAGTGAGATGTCTTTTAATTTTATTTTTTTTTTTAATTTCATTTTATTTCTATCTCAATTAGCAAGGATTTAATATGAGAGATTTAAAATGGAATTGCTCAGCTGCCACTGAGGTATGTAATATTTTTCAGAAATTCTGGTCAACATTTATGACTTGTCTTGGCATTTACTGAAATTGTAACAAATCGTTTCAAAAGGAGTATGTGTCTAAGCATGTGAACATGAAAACAGATTCCTTCCTTTTTCTCTCCTACTAATTTTTATGTCTGTGGGCACATGATGGATCACTATATCCCACAGGCTATACATGAATCAGCAAAATAATACTTTCTTGCAAAACCAATGGATGGCAAAAGGGCTGAACAACAGCATTTGATTCAGGAGTCTCTGCATGTTTTCACTTCTCTTCACAGAAAAGTAAACACTTTGAAGTACTTTGCCAAAATACCTGCTTTGTTCGGTGGAGTGAGAAGGAAGGAAATACTACATTGGTTTGGAGGGGATACCTGATCACTCTTTCTATTGGCAAATATAATGTAGGGTGCTCTATTCTAAAAAATATACCATCTGCAACTAAAGGTGCTCCACTAAATAATATCAATGTACAAGTTTCTCAGTGTGGCATAAGTTTTCCTAAAATCAAAAATCTCCTCTCCCAGTCCCAGCCCCCAAAATCCCAATTCTATTTAAAATCTACAATTTTAAATCAACTTTATTTTATTGCAGTCTATTGTGTTTAATGAAAAACTTCTCATGAGCCAGGAAGTAGCTGTTTATAGCTGTGTGTTGTGGAAATCACAGTGAAGGATTAGAAACTGGAGTAAAATTGGTTACAGCTGTATGAGACAGCATAAGCACAAGATAGAGCCAAGCCCCCACTTTGTACACCCTGATTTTGCTTTTCCTCTCATCCTTCTGGACTGTTCCTTTTCCCTGCACCTACTTCCATCTCTTGCTATGAAATCTAGAGATTTGGCTTTTGATTTGTTGCTCTGCACTCTTTTTTCAGCTGAACCAACTGAGCTGTGAGTCAGACTTTACGATATTATAGAATAAACCTGTTGGATTGCAGCCATTGGACAGGAGAAACTAGACACAACGGGGAATGTGCTCTCTGGAAATAAACCAAGCAGTCTGGAAAAATCAAGAGCTATCCTAATTTGAGTGCAATCTTTGTACCAAACCTCAAGTCTTTTACGGATTCGGTGGTCTGCTTAATTATTCCCACTCTCACTTGATCTAAGGACCATCTCCTGCTCTGGAAGATTTGCTGGTGTTCACAAAAAGCAGGCAGGAGTTTCAAATGCCTGCACAGAGTTCTACTACAGTACTCCTCGGTCCCCATTGTTTTCTCTGCAATGAGGCAATGAGACTTCTTTGTCTGTGTTATGGGACAGGGTGGAAAAAGAGCCAAAAGTACAATGTCTCATGCAGAGAGCAGTTATTAGTCACCAAGGGGAAAGCACCTAAATCATTCCTCAAACTTGCACTAATTTCAAAGAAACCTGTTCACTTATCTTCCAGCCAGAAGCCAAAAGCTGTGCCAAATTATCAGGCAGGTTTGAGAAGCAAGTGTGAGGGAGGGAGAATGGCCAAGGGTAGTTTGGAAACATGCACAATGATTGACTGGAAAAGTAAACAAGTCATACTTCCAACAACTTAAAATTTTATCAAAATTTCATGTGAGAATAAAAGATTAGGAATCAGCCAAAGTGCTCCATTACAATGCTGGCACTTAGCACAAAGCTAAACTTTGGAAATGGCAAATATGTTATCATTCCATGTTCAATTCAAGGAATTAAATATTTTATGGATCTAAAGAAATGCTCTCATTCCTTCCATCTATGAACCATCTGTGGCAGATTTGTATTTACGGGGAGAGAGATGAGGAGTAGCACGCCACGACGTCACCAGCATTCCTTCCTCAGCAGAAAAGGAATTAGAGAAAGAAATTAATCTCAGCATTGGCCAGATGAACAATCAGCTGAATGTGTTTTTAAAGGTGTTACACCATACGTTTCAGATTTGCACGCATCTGTGCCCCAAAAAAATTCAGCTAAAAGGAGTGATGGCAGGATCTACACGAGCCATCTCTTTACGTACCTGCTACTTGCTAGGTACTTGGGGGCTTGATTATAGAAATTCCAATGTTTCCACCTTGTCAAGAGGATCAAGAATGACTATTAGAAAATTTTGACTTAATAAACTGGACAAGTGACACAGAGAACCTTTACTTTGAGACATCCAGGTTGCCCAAAGTAGGAGCAAACAATAATATCTATAATACATAATAGATTTAACAACTCTCTCTAGCTAAAGAGAAGTATTCAAGGTGCTGTTTTTTATGTTAGTATAAGACATATGGGTATACAGAGAAAACACACAAGTGATTCATTTACTGTAACAGAGATGGACATTTTTTATTGTCATTTTAACTGAAAAAAACATTGTTTCCCTGATAGCAATTATACTGCTTAGAAGAAAAAGAGTTTATGTAGCCATGAAAAACAAATTTTCAGGCTAATAACTTTTTTTAATGCTACTTCAAATTCCTTCTAAATGTAACTATAAAAAGCTTCCTTTTGTTGTTGATTGTAATGTTAAACAGCCATGTCACAAGCCTTTGTGAGTTTATTTTATAACAATACTAAGGAAGAGGGAATCCTAGCTACAGAGGTATTTACTGTGCCAGCTTCTATCCCAAAATTGCCGCATTTCACAAATTAAAGATTTAAAATGGGCCTGTTCACCAGTATAAAACAAAAACCCAATACTCCTGCAGAGTTCAGCTGTAAACATGGTCCAGCTGATAATTCAGTCCTTCAGAACAAAGCACACATGTTGACTCTTTGTAGCAGATTCAGTCTGATATTCTTTCCACATAATGATTAGGAAAATATTACCAAGTGAAGAACTGTCAAATACACAGATATGAATCACCATGCTGTGACCTTTTTATGAATGCAAGAGAAAATATTTCAGATTCCAGTATCTAGTTTGGCACTCAGCTATGAACAATCTAATGTAGAATTTGTTGGTATTTGCCACCTGGAGTGATATCCTACAACTGGCAGACCTGAGACAGGAGGGCAACTTGGCTCATACACCACCCTAGGCTCATCTCTAGTGTCAGACCATGGAATATCTTCCATCATAGGCCAAGCTACAAACACATCCAGTAATTTCCACAGGTTTGATATAAACAACATAAATCACCTAGGTCTAATTCAGAATGAATACCAATACAATAGCAGAAAAATAGCAAACTGAATACAAGCTGTACCTTTGTGACAGGCAGTTCCTTGGATTTAGACTCAAAGAGATGCTCCAGTTTGGAAGTGTCCACCTTAATGGGTTCCAGTTTCGACCACAGGAATTCTCTGCAGCGTTTGTTGTTTTTACACTGCCACTCAAATGGCCGTACCTCATTCCAAAATAGACGAATGGTTTTCTTCTTTTTTATAAATGCTGGCTGACCCCTAGAAACCTGGGGTGACCCTAAACCCTGAGGAGTGCTGAACAGTGGAGGAGGAGCCAATAAATTAGCAGAGGGTGGAGGTGGAGGCGGACATCCAAACAAGGGGGGAGGTGGTGGAGGAGGCAAACCCAGAAAAGAAGGTGGAGGTGGAGGAGGGGGAACAAGGGAGTCCCCAGGACCCATATCCATGTCCAACACATCTACATCATCCTCCTCCCCCAAGTCTGTAAAATCCATGTCTTTGATTTTAAGTTCTCGAGGATTAGCCATGAGCTGATCCCAGATGTAATCAGATTCCTTCTTTGTCTGCGCTGGTGTTTTCTCGGGGACCTGTTCACTGATTTCATCTTCAGGCACTGCTGTCCCCTTAGCCAGCTCACCACTGTTAAATTTTTCTGCAAAGGCTTTCACACTGCCTTGGTTGTCCAGATTTCCAATCTCCATCTTTTTGACACTTTCATCTTTGGACTGCTTTGTGGCCTGAAGAATAGAGATCCTGCTGGCTAAGCTAGTGAGTGACTCCTCGCTTTCCTCCGTCTCCTTCTTTTCCTCCTTCGCCTCCAGCTCCTTTTCCTCTTCATCTTTGGGCTTTTTGTTATGTGCATACAACATGTCCAGCATAAACCGCTTGTTATTGAGGATGTTGCTGCACTGCTCATTCACACCAGCATCCTGGATGGTCTGTGACCATGGACCTGTAATCACACACACAGAGATGGGAAGAGTCAAGGGAAGGAAGTCAGAGCACCAAGAACACTCTTCAACCCACCAAAAAGAACATTCCGTATATGCATGTACAACTAGTCTGAAACTGGGCAAGCAGTTACTGTGAAAATTTTGAAATAAGATACAGCGCTGATACATGGCCTGATCTTGATGTGTTGGGAGTATGTCTCAAAAAAGGAAGGGGAGTAGAGCATAATATGTAGCTTGGGAGGGACTATATAACTTCCAGGATTTAAATGCTCTGGTTTCTCCTGAAATCTGTCAGGTTTCATTTTGTACTTGCTACCTCAGCTCATTTTATACAGTGCACAAATTTTCACAACCTTTCATATTTCAGAATGGGGCTTACATATCATGACAATGACACAAAACAGGTTATCATCATACTCTTCATCTGGCCATGTACTGGTACAACCTGAGGAAAATTTTCATATGAACGAGATCTTCCCTGCCTGATTTCAAGGTCAACATGTAGCTGTTTACTTCTCCTCCTCCCACCCTGCTGGCTTGGGAGGGGCAGCTTTCAGACCCTCAGAACCCCCTGGCTGGCTACCTGGGTCATCTTCACAACACAGACTATTGGAATTCCAAAGTAGGCTGCTTACCCAGGGTCCAACTCTCAGAGCAATTCAGTGAGTGTAAGCATAAGCATGATTTTTAAAACTGTTTATAATATGAGAACCTTTATAAATTAATTTTGAACATGCTTCTCATCAACCACTGTTAACCTCTCTATGTTAACTCCATATGTCAGTGTTAAAAGATTACTGGCCTTCCCACATCACATTCATTTAACATTTCACTGTAATGAAGCTTCATCTTTCTGACTACCGCTTTTCTCACCAATAATATGCAAAATACCATGTTTGAGACAGCACCATAAATAACAAATTATAGTGGTCAAATTATAAAAATATATGATGTAAGCGTGTCTGTGACTCCATTTCCCTGAATTTAATATTGCTAACCAATGTGGATAATGTGTCTAAAAATTATGGTGCTCTTTTTTCCAGTGGGCATCAGATAAAGCGATTAAACATGCAACAGTGATAATTATTCACACTTACTGTATTTCCTGTATGGAATTCCTTCTATTCCTCATAGTCCTTACACATTTTTTTTATTACATTTTTCATAACCTCTGTTTCTATTATTTTAGCATTTTACTTTGATTGCTAGCCTGCTTTTATTTTCAGGTCCTTGTGGTTAAAGATTTTCTTTTATACCTGTAAGCTTCCCTTTTTCTTACACTCCCATTTTATCTTGGTTTCTTCACTTATGATCCCACCTTTTCCAATACCTTGGAGTTTTAGATATCTTTTACACTTCCTGAGTCAATGGAGTTGCTTTCTTATCACAACACCTAGTCCTGTGCTCTGAGAAGGTGTCCTCTTGGTGGGATCTACATCCAGGGCCCCACAACTCCTCGCCTCTCCTCACTTAAAACAACACTGTGTTAACATACAGGGCCTTGCAGCACAAAGTATATGGACAGCAGTAACTCCTGCCTCTATTTAGATCAAGCTCTGAACCATGTCTTAAAATCAGTCCAGATGTTTAGCCCCAGACAAAAGAAAGACATTTTTCAGAAATGGATGCAATCTACTTTCCTGCAGGTGGCTTGACTGCTTCCATTATCTGCTAATTTTCCCTCAGACTTGATCCATGGGATTGTTTTCTTACCAGTAATTGTCACCTAAGGCAGTCTCTTAGATTTCTCTCTGAGGTAGCTTCACTAGACAACATCACTAGAGAACTCCTTCCCCACACCATAGATTTTACCCAGCTGTGTCCTTACAGAGGATTTCCCTCTATTCCAAGCCTTTCCTTCAAAGATGTTCAAGATGGTTCCCAAGATTTATCCCACAAACCCCACACGATCTATCCCCTCTCAGTTTCACCAGATGGGATCCTCCAGTGTTTAATCCATTTGCAAAACTACCCATCAGAATTTGCCAAGACATAATCTCTAATTTGCATTCCCCAATTCCACTCCCAACTGTCCAAGCTGATCAAAGATCATATTTATGAAGACTCTTGCTACCTTGATGGCCTCTTCTGCCTTCCTCTTCACTGTTAAAGCCTTGAAATACCACTGGAGAAACAAGACTTGTTGGAAGCCAAATTTGGCAGGATGGCTAATGAAGAAGCTTGCCCCAAGGGTTTTATTTCTTTGTCCTCAATGCACTTGGGCAGAACCAATGAGCCATCCCATAAATGGCAAAATGCTTGTTGGAAATGTCAGAACTGCTGGAGAAAGTGCTCTTGTTTGCTTTCCAAAACGCCTCATCTACTAGAGAGCAAACAATTCACTACACGAGTCTACACTGCGCTACCAAAAAAATCTTTGGTCTCCTGGTAGTGCAGGACAATTTTAAGATGTTGACTGTAGTGAGAGCACATTTCTTAGCTTTTAACAAAAATACATAGGGACTGTAAATAAGAGGGTAACAGGTTGGTAACAGACAAGGAGAAAAAAACTCTCACAATTGTTCTTCTTCATTTGCACTTGGACTATATCTGACTATGCCACAGTGTAGCAACATCCTTCATCTGTGATCCCTCCCCAGCCTTAGGAAAGGATGTATAGATACATCCATCTATATTCTTTATGAGTACAATAGCATTCTAAGTAACCCAATCTTGGTGCTGAGTGAAAAGAAATTATCTCTAAAATTTAGGATGTAATTCGTCTAATGCTTCCCAGAAAAAAAAGTGATAGATTTAAACTTGAACAGTTCAATCTGACAGTTTATGTCTGTGAGGTAATCATTGGGATTCAGAGCTATCCTTCTTCTTTCAGGACAGAGCAGGACTATTTCACATTGTGAAGCACATCTCATTTCCTTATTTAGAATTTAGAAAATATAGGACAATGCATTCCATGGTTCAGACCAAAGAAAACTTGGGAATCAAATGTCCTAATTACATTACATTCCTTTACCCCTCTATAAAAAAGGAAAATGAATAATCAACAAAGTCAAAATCTGTCTTTTATTCCCTCCCTGCCTGGGCTGAAAGACGAACTCTGGTTATCATTATCTCTCTGTGCAGAAACTTGATACTTAAGGTGTTTCCCAGGCTGGGCTTTTCCAGGCTGGTACCTGGTGGCATATTTGACTAGAATCCCCCCATGAAACCGGTCTTTTCCAGACAAGGTGTGGAAATGAGCTAAAGATGGCCACAGCCCAGACCTATGTTCAGCAGCTCCTGTGTATCTCTCTCTGCTGTCTGAAGCCTGACCAAGACTTTCCTTTTCCACTAAAATAATGAGAAAAGGTGTCTGGAACTTCATGATGAATCATGTCAGCACAGGCCCTTGTCTCACTGACTTATGTACAGAAAACCCAAATAAATTCTCCAGGAGCTAGAGATGAAAGTCTGTGCAACGTGGTAATTCAGCAGTTAATGTATTAATCTTAAGGGAAGAAAATTATCACAAATCAAATTAAACTTCATTTCATCAAGGCCCTACTATCCCTCAAATATAGTAGTCCAAAAAAAGTCTGGATGTCCAAGCAGAGAGTATACAGGACTTGGTCATGGTGAATAAAGTCTTATATAGGTGCAAACGGTTTGTTAGATAATTAACACAATACCAGAGATGGTAATTTAACATTTTTTTTTTCACCAGAAACCCTTCATTATTGAAAAAGCTTCACTTTACCAGTTTCATTGTCACTGGTTAACTTGTCCTCTCTCTCTTCCCTCTCTAAAGTGCTGCTTGCTGAGGATATACTGGATGCAGAACAGTTGTCTTTTTCATTCACTTCCTCATTCTGCCTCTCCTTTTCACTGAGTATTGCACTTTCTTCTGGCTCTCTCTCTGGTCCTTGCTCCACCTCACTCTCTGGTCCCACCTCTGTAGCCTCTATTTCCTTGGGTGTCTCCGTTCCCTGCTTGGCCTCAGCCTCAGCCTCCTGCTCTGGTTCTGGTTCTGTCTCTGTCTCTGGTTCGGGTTCACTGGCACTCACTGGTGGAGAGAACAATGGGAGAAAGAGATTCACTTAACAACGGAGCCGTCTCAGGTTCACCCTTCTAAACAAGAGCGACGTGAGAGTTGTACGAGTGCCTTATGGAAAGAAAATAAAACGCAAATCCATGGCATGCTTAGGAACATTAGGAGCAACAGACTGATGGATGTTGTGCGATGACAGCATTGCACGTGAGAGCGGCCTGGCAAGCCCCCTCACTCGCTGTCTGGAGCCAGCCCACTATTTTTATACATACTTCCACAGCTGAAGTGTTGGACTTGCACAAGGATTTGAACGAACCAGCAGAAAATGGGCATCTCACCTGAGCATTGACAACTTAGTGCCTAGACAGAGCCAGGAAAGAAGAGATTTTAAAAAACAAAAACAAAAACGAGGGTGCTGTGGCATTTGGTTGAATTTTCTTTGGGGTCTGGAAGAGTTCTTTTTTCACCTGATGAGGAACACTTCAACAAAAAAAAATACAAATATTAGTTTTAATAACACACTTGAATGGCACAGTCTGGAAATGGCACTGTCACACATTTGGCTGACAAAAAACATATGTTGTTTCACGTACGTTTACTTCAGAATAGCCACATCAAAACTGAGCAAAATCTCCAACTGCTTGGCACATGGCACATATTTAGTTTCCAACTGATTGGCATATGGCATATGATGAGCTTTTTTATCAGCTGGCATACAGCAAACACTGTTGATAATACACCTGGTTTCTTCCCTGCTTTCCCAGTAAAAATAATTCATTCACCTTTATTGTTTTTAGCAGTAACAGCAGATTTTCACATGCAAATATTGCCTGCATGCTGCAAAGAAACTGAAGAGCATCCACACGTATTCACATCAAGCTGCTCCACACTCTGAAACCTGAAATGGCCATGCAAAGAGTGGCAAAAATGGACATGCACATTAGCTCTGCATACGCCCCAAATTCCCTCTGTGTTAAATCTTGTGTTGGGTGGCTGAACTATAATGACCAAGTCATACTTGTTTTGTCCTCTGTTAACCATTTCTCATTACAATATTGCAAAAGAGTCTTCTTGACTTATCACTGTTTTTGGATTACATGAAATACAATGAGAATATCCTCAGGTACTACATGAACCTTTGAAGGAAAAAAAAAATCACACTGAAATACTGGAATGCAATCCAAATATTTCAGTCCTCAAGTGAGCAGGCAAGTAGATTTATCCTGAGTAAATATAAGCCAAAATAAAGGAGATCACATTCTTCTCCAATGAGAGAACCTAAAAATCTGATACTAGATATGCAAGCACCTCTGCTCATGCCTCATTTCTCTAAATGTACCTTACCTATGGCTGTATCCTGCACACTGCCTAGGAGAGAATCAAAATTACAGAGGGCTGTCAAGAAGTTGGCAGACACTGCAAATCCCAGTGATGTGTTTCTCACTACAGCTGTCAGTGTGTAAGTATAAAATGAGAACATTTTAAAGTCAAGCCAACATTTGAATATGACTGAGATGGAAGCTTAGGAATTCTTCAGGAGTTCCTGGAACTAATGTAGTACTTCAACAAGAAAGATTCTCAGCTTGCCATGGTTCAATGGTCCATGTATACAAATGTCACCAATTCATCCATGAATAGTCATAATTTCCTATGAATTCTAGATATTTCTCTCTCAAAAAAAAGAAAAAAAAATCAACTGTCATGCAATAACTAAAAAGGTGAACTCCAACAGCTTAGATGGAGAGAGAAGCTGATTAAAACATGGCCAGGACTCTTAATGCTTATTGCAACTTTGTCATCATGAAGCTACACTGAAGATTCAAAAGAATAAAGCCAGGGAAGATGTAAGAAATGCCTGAGAAAATTTGAATGCTCAAAAGAATTCCAGATACTCTTCTAACAAGAAGTATTCCACACATACCAGAAATATGCAGCAACTTAGCAATATGTAATACATAAAAAAGAGTAAAGAGCAGTATACTGACATAAGCTGCTTTTTTGAGTTCAAGGAATAAAAAAATCGAAGTACTAGAAGGAAACAAGGATATGTTGACACTCATTTTAACAATCTCTTTCTCTCTCTTTAGCAATAATACCAGACAATCCACCTATAACCCAAATCACTTGAAAATGGTGAGCTAAGTCCAGCAGCACTTCCCTTAAGAAGCAGTACAAAAATCAAATCTGCCAGGAAACACCTTCAAGAGAACAAAGCCAGCAAGCTAGACCTGTGTCCATCACTTGCATTTCCACCATGTAATTCACTGCGGTGATATTAGTGAGAACTTCTGAAGATATTAAAAAACACAATTCTCAGTAAATGTTTGGTAGTGGCCTATTTGAAATGAGCTCAGAATTTCAGTTCCACATTTACTGGGTCGATTTTCATACCAGACAAAACACTACTCTAAGTGGCAACCTTACAGATGGCAAGAGAAATAAGTAACAGACCAGTATCTGTCCCCTATCTTCAGACTTCTGCTGGTGGAGAGTGCAAAGGTTCAGGAAAGCAAGCCTGGTAAAATCAAAAAGCATCAACAGCAAAGAAGGTGTGCTTGAGATGTTAAGAAGCATGATACCTATATAAGCTGATCCCTTCTAAAAAGGAAGCCTAAGAACTTATAATGCAGTAGAAGGATATGGACATTTCCTTTAATACTCAACTATAAATCAGCTTTGAAGCAGACACAAGATGTTGTATCCTGCTGATAAGAACTCAACCCTCCAGTCCTATAAGCCCTCATAGAGAAGGAATATCCCTCTGGGTTGACATCTAATCCCCTGTCAGGTTAATTGATTAGCCAACCACATCCTCATCTATTTTCTCTGCTTTCCTCTTGGAGGTGTGAGATACATATGCTGAGTGTTCCTTGTGGATGCATACAGTAAGTCTGAAGAGGTCTGTCTGCCCAAGACCTCTTGGTTCAATTTTTCAGGCATCACCTAAACTCTTGGCTGTTATCTCCCTTCAGCTACTCCAGCATAGGATTCTCCTTCCTCTGAATTCTGCAGGGACTCCTTATCTCTCCCCATTCCCACTCCAATCTTTTCCTCCTATTCCTTGTGTTGGTAACAACAGGTGCAGACTGAACTGGCTCTTTCTTCGTGCAGCCAGAAACAATCTTTTTTGTCTTCCCACCCCAGTTCCTCCTCTGACTTTCTGCATCATAGTTCCTTTGGCTCTGCAATGGCCTCATTGCACACTCATGCTCTGGTGCTTTCCCATCTGCTGAAATGCTCATATTGGTCATGCTTTGGGCAACATTTGAACCCTGCTCAACTATGACTATGTTCAGAAGGTCTCCTGCTGTCCAGTGTACGCTTGGGTTGGCCTGTTTACTTTCTCAAGTACTAAAAAAAGCTGCTTATTTCAGAGAAGGGTTCACCTGAAATACCTTTGTAGATTGACTTCAGAGATGTCTCAGTTATTGTTGCTCCTCCTTTACTGCATACTTGTACTTCACAAAATATTCAATGAAATTACAGAAGAGTAAGTAGCTGCTCTGAAAAAAAAATTAAGTTCCTTTTTGCAGTTACAGGACTACCTTAATTTCCTCTGAATGCCATAACACAAGTTTTACAAGAGTAAGTCCTGCAAGACTTGATTACTTCAGTGGAATCAATTGTTTTATAAGAGAAAACAGCTCAGTAAGTCCAGGTTTGTGTCATGGTACTGACACGTTTCACACCGTGAGACAAAGTTTCACAGACAGAATCTGTTTCCTTCTTAATACCAGTAGATATTGGATGGCCAACAAAAGGAACAAAATAAATCTGACTTATTGTTTTTTCTAGTAGATGAACACTCTTTGCCTTTGACCTCAGGTTCTGAATTCTGCAGATTAATCTCACACATCTGTTAACACCATTCTTTCAGAGTCTTTAGAGCATCCTATGCACAGAACCAAGGAACTGTTTTCCTTCTGCAGTTTCATTCCTACTTGGGAAGATGGTGAGCCCCATGTTAAAAACAACAGCTTGGGGTGCAAGTAATCTGAGTTCTGTCCATGGCTCTGTTTCAGCTTTTCTTTCAACTGGCTTGAGTGAGTTAATACTTCATTTTCTCTACCTATTAAGTGGGACTCGTAACCTGTCCTAAGAACAGTAAAAATGATATTTTAATTCAGTATGGAGCATAAGGAAGTCAAGTAATAGTATAGAGAGCATGGCACAGTGTCTACATTAAGCCTGTCCCCCACTGGCAGATAGCCAATAACATAGGCACTTCCAGATGGTGAGTCCTGCCCACATGCTCATGACTTCCTATGACCTTTCCAATACTTTTGGTAGGTCTGAAAAAGCAGTCATTCCCCATGCCCAGATCCTGCTGAAGTATGCAGATTTCAGGTTCTGTCCTGGACATCTGCCTGCAGCTGCCCTTGGCTGGAAGACTACTCTGCCCCATTGATATATTCTCTCCTTGTGGTCCATTTTTCCAGGCTTCCAGATACTGCCCTCCAATGCCTACTATATTGCCAGGAGTTTATTAGTAGAGGTGTCCTGTCTATCCACATGTTGATAGCTTTGCCATATTCTGGCTGTCTGAAGCTGCCCTGTACACCTGCTCTAAATGTATTCTCCAAATGGTTTGTGCTGCTCCATTTCATGCTGCATTTTTTTTTTTAATGCTTCCAGGAGAAATATGCTAAAATAATCATCATAAGAGATACTTTCTACCTACCCAGCTCTGAAATCCTAATGGTGGAAAAATCCAGCTTATTTGCTCTAAAAGCAATATAGCACTAAATAAAATGGGTCTTGGGATGTTTCTGACTATCAGTATTGGAGGAGAATATCTGCGGTTTCTAAGTTCAAATGATTCCACTGAGACTCTTAAGGTTCCAAATAAGAAAACTGGGGAATATAATTGGGAAAATATATAAAACTAAATAAAATAAACTTCACCTGCTTAGTGCGGTGAGGACAAACATATGCAGCATTCAGTATTTATAACATTTTTCTTAAATTGCCTTGCTTTATAGCATGCTACCAGCCATAACACTCCATAAAACCAAGCAGTGCAAGTTACAAATGCATTAATCACCAATAGCATGTAGCAGGAAATCAAATAAAATAAAAATGAGTGATGGTGATAATTTGCCCTTGACATGCATTCTAGCTCCCAATGTTAATGCAACATCATGTGGTGCAAATATAAATCTGTATGGCATGTGTTGTTTTGAGGACTGAAGGAGAGGTACATGATGCAAGTGGCAGAATGACATACAAACACACACAAAAAGCATTGCTCTGTACACCAATAAATTATATGATGGCAAACCAACCGTGCAAACACTAGTTATACTTTCCTTTTTACTAATTGTCTGTGGTCTTTTTTAAGTCCTTTATGACTTGTGCTACAATTTTAAGAGTTTTTCTTGGTATTAAAAATAATCAACACACTCCCCCTGCCTTCAATTCAAGAGCTTTTCAGTTTGTCACATTCAGCCTGTGCTCTACTGGAAAGTTATTATAATCTTGGCATTCATCTGTTGCATTTCTCTCAGAGAATCCACATATGCAAAATCTGTTGGCAGGAATACTGTTTGTCTAGTATTCAGTAACTCCTCATATATAAGGAACATGACACTAAAACTAAGACCCTCTATATGCTCTATTTTCTAATTATTCCATCTGAAGAGCAACAGACAATGATAATATAAATCTCAGCAACAATTAGCAGTGTACCCTATTATTCAACTAATTACCTGATATCCAAATCAATTCAAAAAATAGGGAATTTAGGAAGAGGGGATGGAAAAAGGTAGGACCCTTTATTCTGGGGTCATATACATCATGAATTGTACAAAGATGTATACCCATGCATTAAAAATCATCACTATCCCAGTTTCCCAGAATTGTTTCCCCTGCCCTCCTTTTCACTTACCTTCTGAGGGCTGAGGAGTTCTACACGGGGTGGAAGGGGTCTTCAGCTCTTCCTGAGACTGTATGGATGCTGGGCTGACACACTTGGGTACAGGTGAGGATGGAGCTGAAGGAGATCTCAGGTTCAAGGACAGCTCACTTCTGCCTCGGCTGACAGTCCGACTCTTTAGCTCCTTCTCATACTCCTCTGCTGCCAACTTCTCCAAGTATTTGTATCTGAAAGTTAAATTCCAGAAGGTTTCCGTAAAGAAAAAGAAGCATGTGGCTGATGCTTGTTTATGGATGAAACACCTGTAGAGAATGAGCTGACTTCCTGACACAAGGGATACAGTACTGAACTCCCTGCTTGCTCAATCTGCCAAAAAGTGCACACCAAAGCAGACTATTGCCCTGAAAAATGTTAAATTGCTCATTACAATACAAAAGCAAAAAACCAGCAGAGTTAAAGAACCATTAGCTATAGTATTTTGTCTGCACAGTCCTTCTCCTTATTGGAAGCATTTGTACGTCCTCCTTTTCACCCTCCTCCTCCTCCTCCTCCTCCTCTCAGCCCTCCCTCTCCCAAAACTAAAATGGGAGGGGAAAAAAAAAAAAACAAAAGAAGAAAAAAATCCCTCCAAACCCAGAGCCCCTTAATACTGGTGCAAACTGCCAAAATCTGAGCCTTGCTGTAAGGAGAGGAAAATGCAGCAGAGAAAAACAGATCTTCCTGAAAATAATACCAGTAATAAATGATTTGATTGACTATCTAAAGATTCTGAACCTGCTTCTATTTGCTCTGAGAGCAATGCACTGGAATTCACTTTGTTCTCTCCAGCCTACAATGGAAAGTTTCTTTTTTTTTATTCTGAAAAATTTCTCTGCCGGACTCAGACATCCAATAGCTTGTACCTGACGTCACATGTAGTTTATTCATCAAAGTCACTTTAAAAGAACAAAGATACATCTGTTTTGCATTTTAGGCAGGCAGAACTCACTAACTGTTTATTAAGACCAGCTACCAATCATATTCTTCATAGTATGCTTTATACATTGCGACCAAAATAACTTTTAAATATGTGCCCGTTCCAGATGTCTGCTAATTTTATCCACCATTATTTGCTAAGGAATAAATTCATGAATACAGCTGGATCGGGCTTTAGACTGCCTTAAGTGAGCTGTTAAACAGGTTTATCAAGACTACTGCTTATGTCCCTGAAACACTCTGGTCATCCCCTATAACACGCTGTTGTAAACACTTCATAACAGTGAACACCTCTCCTCCCCTCTTCTGCATCTCTGACAGCTCAAATTAATGTAAGAGGGTACATTAAAAGCAGGCAGGGTAAAGAAGTCAGCCATATGTGGTAACAAACATGCTTAGTACATATGGTAGCCACACACACATGCACATTTGCAAACATCCATATACAGCACAGAAATGCGTCTTTGAAGAGCAGTCCTTGTGTTTTCAGAGGTAATTTGCCTTATTGCAAACAGCAGTAATGAAGAACAAACTTTTTTTTTTTTTTTTTAATTCCTCCAGAGGTATGCACAGGCTTTGAACAAATTCTGCAAGAAAAAGAACCCCTACAGACTCTGGATGAAAATATAACAAGCTACATACTTGCATGGTTATAAAATAGGAACTGTTTACAGTTCTAACATGAAGCCAATTCTCGAGACTGAATCTTGCCTTTTCAATAGAGGGGAAAGCCTTTCTCTGGCATCAGCGTGATATTTTGCTGCAGTCCATGAAGCCACTCTTTCTTTGAATATTGGTCACTTATGTACAGTGCCTTGCACCTCCTCACAACCAGAGCAGATGGGACTCTAGACTCATAAAGAGACACTCAAGTTGATCACTTGGCACAAACAGGTACAGCCCACCTGGCTGATGCCAAGGGGGTTTTGCAGTTTGCCAACAGACTACAACAGAGATCTGGATGGACCCTTCTATAATGCGGGGAGCCACTATGTTTTATTGTCCTCACTTCTTTTCCGGGTGCTTTAACATTTTCTGTAGCTATGTGCTTCACCACCAACCAGCAAAGTAGAGACAACTCAAGAGACATCATCAAGAGACAACTTCCCAAAAGGTATCTGACTACTATACTGAAATATAAAAGGGAACCAGAACAGCAACTCCAGTGGCAGCACATAAGCAGAATGAGTTATCAAATGGGAAGCTCAATAAATAGGTACAACTGAGAAATAAAAAAAAAAAAAAATATCAAGAATCACTTATTAATGCTTCACACTTGATAAATTACATTATTTAGGTTACTTTTGTTTCTGAAAAATATCTTAATAATGAATGAGTGCCAACAGCAGATACGCAAGGTCACATAGGCCAAAATCTGAAGGATCTGAAAGAATGAGCTACCGTACCTCCACTACAGGATTGACAAATTTCCCCTGAATATGCTGCCATATTCTTTTAAATCATGCAAACATCATCTCAGCTATGCTGACTCTTCTCTGTAGATAATGAGCCAAAAGTCTGTGGCTATCCATTTGGCATTCCTCATGAACTGTATTTATGATCTTCAAGAAGATGAAATTATCATTTTGAGTTCTCTAGGTATCTGAGAAATGCTCTAAGGACAACCCAAAATGTTAATATACCAACAGAGTCATAGGAGTGAAGAGCATTTAAACTGTACCTCACACCAGAGAGGGTTTGGAAGGTCACCTTTCTTGAGATAAAAAACCACTGGAAAACACCCAACCAAGCAAAGGGAAAAGGCCTCAAATCACTGAACACCAAGAACTGATATGGAGGAAACATACAAATCAGTATTTAACTAGGATTTTAGGCATCTTGACTATAGGATTTTCTTTCAGTCTATGCACTCGCCTAAGACAAGTTAACAAACAACTTCCTATAGGAAAAGGTGCAAAAGTGTAAAAAAGTAGTTACAGAATGCCAGTGTAATGGACTACTGTGCAGAAGTTTTCTCCAATATGTATGTGCTGTGAAAGCAAACATGTCTTCCCTCTTTATGAGTAAGAGCTGATAGTTTGATATCTCAGTTCAAAAGAGCCCTAAGGATAACAAAACATTACTAATGAACGGTGAAATAGTCTCAGATTTTCACAGCAGTGATGGTGAACACTTCCCCAGAAATACTCCAGTAAGCATTTTCCCTTACAATTTAAAGTTCTGGAGAACTACTAATTTGTTTCAAAACTTGCAGATGAGCATGCTCATTGAAAAAAGGTATTACGCAGCTCAAATCAGTGTATGATGCTTATGTGCTCAGATGCATTTAATTTCAGAAAATGCTTTAAATTATTTGTAATTGTTTTGACTGGAAGCAAAATGGAAAGCCCATCCACCTTTTCTTATGCTTAGAGATGTTAAAATAATTTTTTAATATCAGTCTGAACAGATAAAATTTCAGTCTGCAGAAACAAACTGTCTCCTGTATGATGATCCTGTGAAAAAAAAACCCGAAACACAGAAGCAACCAAAAAAACCCCCAAGTAAAAACACAGCAATTCAACGATTTCTGAGATGGCTGCTCTCTTATTTTGATAATGTAATTACAATTCTTAACAATCCAAAAGTATCTCCAGAGGACCATAAAAGCAGAACTGAAGCACTCTGTATTTTTCATCCCTTGTACAGTAACTTGCATATTTTCTAGGTAAAAACAAGCACACCCTCCAGGATGCAATTACTAGCAGAGGTTGAGATGAAGCTACTGAAAGGCAAAAGTCCTTAGTTGAGTATTCCTTGAAAAATATGCTTTTATAAGCACATACCTCCCAGCCTAGCCCAGAGTTTCTAAACTTGTTCATTGAATTAAAACAAAAAAAGGAGAAATAAAACCCAAACCCTTTAACTATGCTATTTAAATAAAACTAGAACAATGCCCCAACGATAAACACACTGCTAAACTTTGTAATTTACTTGCTGATGTTTAAAGAGATTGGCAAAGAAAACTTGGCTCTGAAAGATAAAAATATGCTGAGAGTGGGTCAGAATCATTTCCATCAGCCGGTCACTGCAGTTTTGCAATGCTTGTGACCCCAATTTCCTTTATCCTCAGTTGCCTTTTCTGACCCTCCAGAAAGCTTGGGACACACTGGGTGAAAAAGACAGGCTTATTCAATTTATAACTACTAAATTTGGGCAGATTTCTGAGGCAAATAGGGTAAGCTTATTTCCCACACAAATAGATAAAAGATCATCAATCATTCTTAAGCATTCTCATTGCTCTTCATTTATTGCTGTGCTTACAGCTGGACTTAATTCTGCTCTTTAACAACTTTGTTATAGAAGTCTTTTGGAATAAAAGTGTTTTGTGCAAGCAGAGTTAAAAATGTAAACATACAACAGTGCCACAGTAAAGAATATAGGAAGTGCAAACAACCAGAGGGAAGGATAGGGAAGGATGGATGACATGACATACAAACCTCTCTTCTCTTGCTTGTCTTAATTCTTCTCTTTTGTCTAAATAATCACGGCTAGAAAGAGAATTACAGTAAATTGCAGCAGAAACCAGAAGAAAAAGATGAGTAATAGAAGCATAGGTACAGTAGGAGAAACCAAGAGTGGTACACACAAACTGATTGCAGACAATGAAGGCTGTTGTCAAAAAAACTGTTTGCTTTTGCAAAAATTGCTGAAAAGTGTATACTTATCCATGCATGCACCACCAAATACGTAGTTTGGAAGGTCATTTAAAGTAATAAAAAATCTTGCAAAAAGTGAAAAACTTTTTCATAGCTTTTTGAAGCATGCTATGAAACCTGGTACCTGAAATGAGATCCAATGAACTGCAGTTATCCATAGAGAGCAGGCACATGAGTGGCTACTAAACCATCCCTCATTTGCTCTGCCTCAGAATGCCCCATTCTGCATTCTGTGACTGCAGCCTCTGGCAGGACAGACCGAGGCAGTGTGCAAACCCATTGGCCTTCTTTCCAAGGAACCTTTCCTTAGTGAGTTTTAGTTGCTGTGGCTGGAAACAGGACAGCAGACTGGCTTTACTGAGAAGGACAATTCCGCCTTCCAAGAGGATGTGTGCAGCATCACTGGACAGATAACAACCTTACACTTTATTTTTCACCCTGAGTTTTAGATACAAAAACTCCTTTTATGTCAGCTGCCATTCTCACAGCTCCTCAAATGACCCATATATTTAACTTTTGCCGATTCAAGTTGCTGGATGCTTGAATACTGTGATTTCGGACAGGCCTGCCACATCCACAGATATGGATGCAAATTAAACTTGGAGCACAGCAGAACCCAGTGGATGTCCACCCTGTCTCAGTATCATAGCAAGATGGTTCCTTAAAATATATTTTTAATATTCAGTTAAATTTGGTAGACAAAACTAATGAGACCTTCACCTTATCTGCTATTCTTTCACAGTGAGTATCAGAAAGATTTTCAGAACTACTCCTTTTATTAATAACCTTTTTTTTTCCCTCTTTATATTGTGTCATTAAATGAATTACTTAACTATTATATCAATAGCTATCAAACATCTGCTTGCAAGTGCTCTTCAAAAGTCCTTTAACAGGGAACACACATTAGTGTTTCAGGCCATCTCCACAGGCTTTGAATTCTGAACTGGTTATAGTTTTAGAATATTTTAAAGGTATCCCAGGAAATCTTCAGCAGGCAAATTTTAACATTACTCTTCCCCCTCTGACAACTTTCACTCTTCCCTACAGCTGAAAAAAAACCACTTTATTTTAGGACACATTGTTCTACATATGCAATGGGTACGATAGTCCTTCTACTGAGAAAAATGTTCATTCTGCACAGCATTCCTTTAGTTAGAAATAAGTTATGAAGCTTTGTAGCTCCTCTCCTAATCCTCCAGCTCTCCTGTTCTCCAGCTCTTTCACAACTAGTGATGCTCTCCTTTAAATTATCCTCAATTTGTCAATAATGGTGCCAGAACAGTGCAATGTTCTTGAGGCAGAGTTGGAAAGAATGAGATTACAAATGAGTCATGATGGTAAATCCAGTACAGCTCACGAGTTTAAAGACTGAATTGCAAGTGCTATTTTTAATCAAAAATACATCTTCAGAGACTGGGTTTCTAGCCAGACTGATGATATGATAATGAAATCCCAGGAACTCTTATGAAACTGTCCGTGACTGCTTGCTGTGACTTTGTTTTCCTCCTGCCAGACTGTTTAATCAACTGTGGGATGCTGTCTGTTTGTGAAGTCGGGTGGCTTTGGAGACCCCCTCCTCAAACAAAAGTTATAACTTTTGGGTGATCACAAAACTCAAATCCAAAAGATGAAAACACTGGGAATTGAAAAATAATCTTAAATATGTAGCACAATTATGACATTTAGTTTATCAATTTCTAATTCTGAAATAAAGGGATGAAAATGTATATTTTGGAATTTTTTTCTGACTTCAAGAAACCTCTTTTAGTGACAGAACAACTACTGTAGCCAACCTCTACTGAAATGTGCAGATCTGTTATTCAAACAGATCAATCTGCCAAATGCCCTGTTGGCTTTTTCAGTCTGGGAGTTTCCTTTCTGAAAGATCATGTTGGCTGTCCATGGCAGCCTGCTGCAGCCTGATGATACCACTTAGAGGGAGAGTTTTTGGAAGAGGCTGGAAGACTGCAACCTTATTGTTTCTGTTTCAGGAGAACTTGGGCAGCTGTTGGCTGCCAAAGATCCTATTATGGTGCCCTTCCACCTTCCCTCTGCCTCTCATTTCGTTCTAAACTAGCTATCTTCTGGAGCCAGGAGAATATCAATCAACCACTCCTAAGTTACTCCTCTTTCCAAATTCACAGAATCACAGCCTGTTTCCACTTCTTACTAAAGGGATGATTACAGTTAAAACAATCCTGCACACTAATAAACAAGCTAACATGAAACCCTGTACCATCTTTTCCATAACTACCAATTCTAAGGCTACAAACATTTATATTACCACTCTTTAAATCATTACATTATATCTTCTAACTACTAAAAATAGGTTTGATTTTCACTTCTGTCTATGAGGAAACAAATAGATTTCTTAATGTACACTCTTCAGACTGAAGGCAAACAATTTCAGATATAGATTCTGTATCTATCCTTGGCCCACTGCAGTCTTTGTTAATGTCTCTGCTGGGATTTCTAGGCATGGACTGAAGAGGTTGAGGGGGCTTGTCTCTTACTGTCTTCAGGCAGCACACCCTGGGATCCCACATCACACAACATTTTCTCAGATGAGAAAATGCGAAGTCCTGCATTCAGCTATGACATTTGTCTGGCCAAGGTCTGAACAGTAATTTTGGTCATTACCTTCTGTCAGTTGTTGATTCCAGGAGGAAGAAACATGTGTTCAGAAACACAGGAAAGACACAAGCAAGACATTTTTACTTTGCATAATTTAAAAGCCAATAGATGTTTCAGTGCTGTCCCTTCCTCCCTTCTTGATACCTCTGTCCCACTGTTTCACTTTCAAGTCCTATGCCTCACTGAGATTATAATTTGGTGAGTATATTAGCTACTAAAACTGAGCCTCTGTACATACCAAGGCAGTATAATTGGCTGCCTTTAAATAATGGATTTTTTATTAAATGCCAATATTCATTATGTGTTTAATGTATCAGTTTCTAAGATACTTAGATCAAGAAAAGTATCTAAAGAGACAAACTATTCATCAAGTCAGTTATTTTGCAGTTGAATGTCCCAATGATTGATCAATCTATAACACATTAAAGCAAGAGACTGAGAGCAAATTTGGGTCCTACTTGAATTTGTTTCTTTCTTCACGTTCTATCCTTTGCAACCTTTCTTCTCTCTCCTGACGCCGTCTTTCTCTTTCTGCTGCCAAGGACTCCTGGTGCTGCCGAAAGGATGATGTAAGGAGACCACCCAAAGCTGGCCTGCAGAAAAGGAAGATCAGATTTCTCAGTGTCACTTTTATTGATTATACTGGCAAAAACTGAGTAGCAATCATTCAGTAAGTAACATAATCCCAACCAACAGAATGACATGGCAATATTTATGTATGGCTTTCAAAGCATTTGCTAAGCATCTTCTTGCTAAATTGATCATAGATTCTGTGATGAGCTGAAAAAAAACCCCAGTTAGGGTAGGCTTCCTAAATAGCTAAATTTCTGAAGCACAAATAAAGTATGTGTAAAAATTCTTCAGTCTATTTCAACAGCAATATTGTCTAAATATTTTTTTTAACTTTATAATCTTATTTTTAACTTTATAATCCTGTTAATAGAAAAGCTGAATCCTGTAAAGGATTTTTGAAATTTTAAAGAAAATAAACTGTTATGCAATGATGTTAAAAACAGATGTGTCACAAACACCTGAGAATCCTCTGTACAGAAAAACAAAAGTAAAGGAAGATGTCAGAAGTACCCTAGAGAATGCAAATGTTCTCTTAAGCACCAGGCATATTTTTCCTTTATACATTAATAAATTTGATTATCATTATTTCCTTGCTGCATGTGCTGTAAAAGCAAGATGAATCTCATATTAAAACATATCAGTAAAACACAAAGGGACAGTCTTCTCAAACCATTCTTGAAAACTGTCAGAAAAGGTGGCCTCTACAATAAGGACTTTTCAAATATATAAAGGTACATTCACATTCACTTACAGTTTGGTGTTGACATAGATTTTTTTATTGGCTTTACTCTAAGTAGTATTTTGTCTGGGAGAGTGTGTCCTGTTACACAACCTTCCCCCGGCATGGTGGTATTGGTACCACCAACCTCTCACATGGCAACAGAGTGACTTCAGAGTAAAAGCGTTTTTCTTTCTGTCTCTTAGACAGGAGAAAAAAACCCCGTATTGTACAGGGTAGCTTTATACAGATGTGCGCTGATTGAATTAGATTGATAAAATCAAAAAGACATAACTCATGTAGAGCGGTTTCTGTGCATTGTTGTAACATGAGTTTTGCAATGAAAGGATTAATGAGAGAAATAGATACTGCCTTTTGTGTAAAAAGAAACTAAACCCTGCCTGCCTAGAGGAAGGTTCCTTAACCAGTAATGCAAACCTGAATACATTTTCCTTATTTTTAGGAACTCAGACCCTTTCCCTTATTTATTTGCTTGCCTATGGCTTCACAGTGTAGGTATTTAGTATAATGGCACCAGTTCACTAGTGAAAATAGGTGCAAAAGAAGACAAAAATATTAATGCAAACCTATCTTCCCCAAGTGTCTATGTCTGTACAAGCAGGAACACCACAAAACACAGCCATTTCAGCCCCACTGGCAGCAGGGCAGCATGAATATAATGCCAATAATTTCGATAAATTGAATTTCAATATGTCATATCCCACCCGCATAAACATTACATAAGATGGTATTAAACTTGATATTCTGTAAGAGTCCCTGCTGGCATTCCTCCAAAGCTACAGTATCAATGCTGGATCACACTCAAAACCATAAAAATCTCTAATATGCTTCAGCACTAAGAAAATGGGGAAAAAAATCCTCAAACCCTGACAGTCAAGTACGTGTAGTGAATTTTCCCTTGAGCATGTTTGAGATTTATTTTAACTTTTGACCTTTTAGTGCATGTTGCAAGAGAAAGCTTTTAGCAGAAACAGTAGCACTACTGTACTAAAATTCAAAAGCTAGAGCTCCATCCCTGTAGTAGCATGAAAAAACATGGCTATATGGTTAGATATAACATCAGAAATTACTCATGGAAGGGGAAAAATGAACAGTGCCTCCATGTGAAGATATATGGAAATTAACTGTGGAAGATGGCAAAAGTGGGTCCCTATCAAGTCTCTGTTTTTATCTGTTTTGTGTATTCAGCTTGATATCCCATCCTGCCCAGCTGCCATGAAGTCTGCAAACTCCATTTGGAGTCAAAGGAAGGTATGGTTTAAAAGAAGATGGAAGAAAAATTAAGGGGAAGGATGAGGTGATGCTGAGAGACCAAAAGAGTGATTGTAGGTCTTGCACATCATCTAGCAGGTTGGAAACCTTCAGCTCTGACTGAGCTTCTTGAGGCCCTACAATAAATGCACATTCTTATGCAGGGGATTACAGGGAAATCACATGGAGATGCACAGCTTAGTCCTGCAGACAGGATTCTAAGCTAACCCTGGTAGTAAAATACCTCCAGACACTAAAACACCTTGTTTGGAGGTTTGATCTAGCGTAGTTTATCTAGCATTGCTCACTGGGCTAAAATTAGCAGATGAATGAAGAGCAGCATCACAATCTAAATAGAAGACCCATATCCATATGTCCAGAAGAAAAGGAAGTGTCCAAAGAACTGAAAATACTAGCTTGCCAACTCTTCAAAACAAATCACATCAACAATAATTAGTCAAAACTTGGAATTTCTTTATTTCTCACTGGTAGTGAGTGCATACTTCAGCTGAATTACAAGCTGCAGGATAGCATGCACACACATGTCCAGTTCAACTCCTTTGTCTAAAACACAGTCATATTGTGTACAACAGTTTGTTGCATAAAATGGTCAAATCCAACAGTCCAAGCTTGCAGAAGGTTCTGTACATAGAGGTCATAATTAAACAGACAGAAACACAGTCAGCTGACCCTTTGTGTGACACTAACTTCTTCAAGCCCAAATAGTCAAGGTTTTGGGTCTTGAGTCACATTTACAAAAGGGCAGGCAAAGAAACAGCACTGCTATAGCTGAGTTAGTGCTCACTAAGTGGTTACACCCACTAAACCACACACATCTGCCCTCGGTGGGGACCACGCCTCACACCAAATGCTGAGACCAGCTGCCTTATGAAGCCTCATAAACTCATAGCTTCACTGCTGCTATCGAGTGCTGTAGCTCAGCTGGTGTTTGGGTGCACCAATAGTCCTTTTAATGTGAACTTCAACTGTAAATGCACAGTTTTAGTATCTAGTAAACTCTGCTGGTAATTTTCTACATGAGCATAAGCTAAACCTGGGGTAACCAGGTCATTTTCAGGGTTTACAAACCTGTAAAGCAGCCAGAGGAAAAGCAAGCATTAAGAGGTATTCCTCAAACATTCTAAACAATTTGGAAAGGGATTTGTCTATGTACAGTTTGTCGACAAAATTTGATTTTTGTTTCTGTATTTCCCTGGCAATAACACTTAAAGTAAATGTTTCCGTTCAGTGAACACATACTTGAATTGCAAATGGCAGCATGAATGGCCAAACTAGATGGTGGGACGGCTCAGGCTGAGCCTTCAGGCAATTTTGTTGCTTTGATCCTGTCTGAAGTGTGACAGTGCCTTCAGGCCTCATGAATTTCTAGGTCTTATTGCTGCAGGCTGCATTTTAAAAATGGATAAGCAAGAAAAAGGCTACAAATCTTCTGGCACTGAATCAAAGGTGATAAGAGATTTTAACAGGAAAGAGAATATGAGTGCTCAAGGAAAGCATAATAGAGTGATCACTTGCAAAATGGGGCTATAGCTAATATATGCCAGCATTTTAGTGCTGGTATCATATGTTACCAGCTGGTAATATCAACCATTTGTTCAGCTCCACAAATACAATCCAGAAGGATGCTTACTCTGGCTACTATTTTTAGTCTTGTAGAGAATGCAAGGCTATTAAGAATGAACTGTTAATATAAAAAACCTTAAGAAAAGCTTTCTTATGCCTGCTGTTAAAACCAGTAAAAACGAAACAAGCTATGTTATTACTTTCTCATTCCAGAAAGAAAATACACAACAAGAAAGTGTCTCGATCTGTGGATTTGTGAATAGGGCTCCTCACCAAAGCATCAGGACACAGGGCCAAAGAGGTCATTAGTAACTTATCTTACTGGAAGACGAGGTAGGGAAAGGAAAAAAAATAGGGGGGGGTTGGAGGGGAAAGAAAAAGAAGGCAAAACATATACACAGAGCATAGGATATAAAGCCAAAATGTTGACAGTAGGCCAAAGCTCTTCTGAATAAAAATTCAGCTAGCCTGACCTACAGCATTTAACACAGCAGTGAATTAGTAATCATTATTCTAAACATAAATTTTGGCAGACACAAGATATCTCATACTTTTTTCAAATTCTTGCAGTTTTCTGAAAATACTCCATCATGGACTATACATTGTGAAGGGGATTATGTGCCCTGAATTACCCTAATCTTGTTGCAAACTGAAGAAAATATTTCTGTGTTACTGAAAGCAAAACTGAAATTCTGAACTTCAAATATTCTTTAATTATGTAAGCTTTGAGATACTCTTTTGTGGCTGCCTTTCCCTTTGTTTAGTTGAATTTTTAAAAATTTCCTGAATATAAATGGTTACCTACAGGAAGAATACAAAATACAAATGTATATTTTTAGGAGCTAAAAAAAATTAACAGATGACTTATGAGAGGAAATCCCTTTAGGTCATAAGGTTAATATTCAGGATTGTCTTTAATTCAACATGGGGCAGAGTCATTAATAACTTTAATAAGGAAGCACTAATTACCTAATTTTGCAAAGTGCTCCTGTTCCAGCAGCCATGGGAATGCTACAGGGAGGGTACAACTGTTGGCAGCTCCTACTCAGGCCTTAAGTAACTCTAAATGCCTCCTGGCTTTAACAAAATAAATCCGCTTTCCAGCTAAGAAAGAGACAAAAGGGGAGGCAAAGCTGCCAAGAGCCATATTGCTTTTCACAGTTAAAGAAACTACCCGTGTGTTATGTCTCCCTATATGACACGACAAATTCAAAAGCAAGTTGATATAAGACTCTGCAAACAGACTAAACATTACTTAAGGAATCTTTACAAAACTTCTCTCAAAAATAAACAGAAAATTGAGAGCTAAAACTACTGACTAATGCTTCCTCTAAGAAAGAAACTTGAGAATAACCAAGTGAAGGGACAACTCAAATTAGAGCTACAGCAGGACAGAGCTGCACAGAGACTGGGCAATGCACAAGGACTTTCTACATACACTCTCCT